GTCGCAAAATTAGGTAATACCTCCAAAATTCGAAAATCTACCTCCCCGAAAAGTCGATAATCTACTTTCCCGAAAAGTAGAAAATCTATCTACTTTTCGGGAAAGTAAATATACTTTCGGAAGTAGATATTTCCATTTTTATGATACAAATTTCCGTTTTCTGCACATCTACTTCGCAAAATTAGGTAATATTTCCCCAAAATTCGAAAATCTACTTCCCCGAAAGTCGATAATCTACTTTCCGAAAAGTGAAAATCTATCTACTTTTCGGAAGTAGATAACCAACTTCCCGGAAAGTAGATATTTCCCATTTTTTATGATACAAATTTCCGCTTTCTATGATAATCTACTTCATAAAATTAGGTAATATTTAAAATTCGAAAATCTACTTCCCCGAAGTCGATAATCTACTTTTTCGAAAAGTAGAAAATCTATCTACTTTTCAGGAGTAGATAACAACTTTCGAAGTAGATATTTCCCTTTTTGTAAATTTCGCTTTTCTATGATAATCTGCTTCACAAGTAGGTAATTTCCTTCAAAATTCAATCTACTTCCCAAAAGTCGATAATCTACTTTCCCGAAAAGTAGAAAATCTATCTACTTTTCGGAAATGAATAACCAACTTTCCGGAAGTAGATATTTCCATTTTTATGATACAAATTTCCCGTTTTCTATGATAATCTACTTCGCAAAATTAGGTAATATTTCCCCAAAATTCGAAATCTACCTGCCCGAAAAGTCGATAATCTACTTTCCCGAAAAATGAAAATCTATCTACTTACTAGGGAAAATAACTCAACTTTCCGGAAAGTAGATATTTCCCATTTTTATGATACAAATTTCCCGTGTTCTATGATAATCCTACTTCCAAAATTAGGTAATATTTCTCCAAAATTCGAAAATCTACCTCTCCCGAAAAGTCGATAATCCCCGAAAAGTAGAAAATCTATCTGACTTTCGGAAATGATAACCAACTTTCCCGGAAAGTAGATATTTCCCATTTTTATGATACAAATTTCCCGTTCTGATAATCTACTTCGCAAAATTAGGTAATATTTCCCCAAAAATTCCAATCTACTTCCCCAAAGTCGATAATCTACTTTCCCGAAAAGTGAAAAATCTATCACTTTTCGGAAGTAGATAACCAACTTTCCCGGAGAAATGAATTTCCCATTTTTTATGATACAAATTTACTTTCTATGATAATCTACTTCCATAAAATTAGATGTCTTCAAAATTCAATACCTCCCGAAGTAGATAACCAACTTTCCAGAAGTGAACATTCCCATTTTTATGATACAAATTTCGTTTTCTATGATAATCTACTTGCAAAATTAGGTAATATTTCTTTAAAATTAATCTACTTCCCCAAAAGTCGATAATCTACTTTCCCGAAAAGTAGAAAATCTATCTACTTTTCGGGAAAGTGAATATAACTTTCCGGAAAGTAGATATTTCCATTTTTATGATACAAATTTCCCGTTTTCTATGATAATCTACTTCGCAAAATTAGGTAATATTTCCCCAAAATTCGAAAATCTACTTCCCCAAAAGTCGATAATCTACTTTCGAAAAGTAGAAAATCTATCTACTTTTCAGAAGTAGACATCAACTCCCGAAAGTAGATATTTCCCATTTATGATACAAATTTCGTTTCTATGATAATCTCGCCAAAAATTAGGTAATATTTTAAAATTCGAAAATCTACTTCCCCAAAAGTCGATAATCTACTTTCCCGAGTGAAAATCTATCTACTTTTCAAGTAGATAACCAACTTTCCCGGAAAGTAGATATTTCCCATTTTTATGATACAAATTTCCCGTTTTCTATGATAATCTACTTCGCAAAAATTAGGTAATATTTTCCAAATTCGAGAAATCTACTTCCCCAAAGTCGATAATCTACTTTTGAAAAGTAGAAAATCTATCTACTTTTCGGAAAGTAGATAACCAACTTCCCGGAAAGTAGATATTTCCATTTTTATGATACAAATTTCCCGTTTCTATGATAATCTACTTCGCCAAAATTAGGTAATATTTGCCCCAAAAATTGAAAATCTACTTCCCCAAAAGTCGATAATCTACTTCGAAAAGTAGAAAATCTATCTCTACTTTCGGAAAGTAGATAACCAACTTTCGGAAGTAGATATTTCCCATTTTTATGATACAAATTTCCGTTTTCTATGATAATCTACTTCGCAAAATTAGGTAATATTTCCCAAAATTCAATCTACTTCCCGAAAAGTCGATAATCTACTTTTCGAAAAGTAGAAATCTATCTACTTTTGGGAAAGTAGATAACCAACTTCGGAAGTAGATATTTCCCATTTTCTATGATACAAATTTTCCCGTTTTCTATGATAAGTGAATACAACTTTCCCAGAAAGTAGATATTTCCATTTCTGTGATACTTTCCGACGCCCTTGGTAGAGCCCTGGGGGTCCACCCTTAGTAGGGTTGTGGGGTGCCGCTCCAGGTATGGGCCCTGGGGTTCTGCCTCTTGCGGCCTAGATCCCAGGTAGAGCCCCTAGGGGTCACACTGTTGGTTGGGCCTCTGGGGTCACTGCCTTTGGTAGGGCCTCTAGGGGCGCCGTCCCCGGTAGTGCCTCTTCAGCCACGGGGGCATCGCCTCTGGTAGGACCCTGGGGCCCCGCCCATGGTAGGGGCCTAGGAATTGCGACCCTGGTAGGAAAGCCCCTGGGCGCACAGTCTCTTGGTGGGCCTCTGAGCATTGCCACCCATGGTAGAGTCCCTAGGGGCGCCGCCCCTAGCAGGGATCCTGTTGTGCCGCCCCTGGGGTCCCGCCCCTCGTAAGGCCAGTAAGGCTCCTGGGGGTGCAGCGCAATGGTATGGCCTCTGTGGGCGCCTCCTCTGGTAGGGCCTGGGGAACTGTGCAATGGTAGGGCCTCAGGGGGCGCGGCCCCTGATGTGCCCCTGGGGTATCGCCCCTGGTAGGGGTCTAGGGGACGGTGCCTTTGGTAGGACCTCTAGTAGGGTGCTGCCCCTGGTATGGCCCCTGGGGGCGGCGCTCCTGGTTGGGCCACTGAAGGCACCTCTAGTAGGGCCCCTGGTAGGGTTCCTGAGGGTGCCGCCTCTAGTAGGGCCCCTGGTGACACTCCTGGTAGGGCCCCTGAGGACGCCGTGGAATGTTAGGGGCTCTGGGGTCGTCGTCCCTGGTAAGCCCCCTGGGGAACGTTTACTCTATTAGGGCCCCTGGGGGCGCTGCGCAATGGTAGGGTCCCTGGGGGCGCTGCGCAATGGTAGGGCCTCTAGGGGTGCCGCCTTAGGGCCCCTGGGGCCGCCGCCCTGGTTGGGCCCCTGTAGGACTCCTGGGGGCGCTGCCCCAGGTAGGACCTCTGGGGTTCCGCTCTGGTAGTGCCTCTGGTGCCATTGAGGACGCTGCCCCTGGTAGGGTCCCTTGGGGTGCCTCTCCAGCCTGGCAGGAGTCACGTGTCGTGAGCGGGGTCCGGACAAACCCCCCCCCCAGGACAATACCCCCAAGGACAAAAAACCCTTGGACAAAACCACCTCAAATAAAGTGCAAAGTGGACAAAAGTCCTTATTTAGAGGAGGCTAGGTTAGGTTAGTCTTATTATATAATAAATGCAATATTTTACATGTCACAGAAGTGTTCATAAACTATAAATAATAAAAATGGGGTTTTGTCCTACTTTGCAATTTTCTTGAGGGGTTTTTGTCCAAAGGGGTTTTGTCCATTTTTTTTTTGTCCAAGTGGGGTTTTGACCAAGGGGGCTTTGTCCTAGGGGTTTTTATCCTGGGGAGGGTCCTACATTCGTCGTGAGCGGGCGTGACTGCAGCTACCTACAGTACACCGTCCTCCTGCACATTTGCTGAATCTTCACTGACTCGCTCACTAAATCACCTCCCCTTGGCAGCTCCGTTTGAAACATCATTCGTAAAAGATGACCATTAACACCTAGGAAGAAATATTACAATTATATACCAAGACAAATGTATTTGTATTGGTTTACCTAAATAAGGCTTCTGAGTTATGTAGAGGTTGTTGTACTGTTTACATTAACCCCAAATATTCCACTATAATAATATTTACCACAAAATACTTACCATAATATAACTAAATTAGGTAATGTGTGCAAGATCTTCACTTATCAACCCAAATTTACTTATCCATCTAACCGCTCAGTGAACCAAAATGTATTGAACTATCCATGTATCTATCTCCCAACCAAAATTTATTGACCTATACATATTCTCGACGCGATTATATGAATGATTGCATTACAGCAGCAACATTGTCCTCATTTGTCGTTGAATGCATTCAGCAGGATTTCAGGAGCCCGAGCATGCCCAGAACTTTCCAACATTGACCGATCGCCTGATTGGCTATAGAGCCCCAAGTGGCGAAAAGATAAGAGAAGTGAAGGAAGATCAGTACATACAAGGGTTTTCTTTGCACAAGTTGTGGAGAAATTAGAATGTTTTTCAAGTGATCTTAAGAGACTATTGCACAAATTCCTATATTTTTTAACTTATTGTCGTCTATCAAAGCATAATGTTTAAGGGTGCAGTGTGGTAGACGTGACAGATCATAGATAACAAGGATGATACTGCATTGGGACATATCAATAGACTGACAAGAAAAATCTATACTGTTATGGGGATAGAAATAATCATCATGGACTGTGCAACCTATGATATTGAGTGCTATGAAAGACTCAAAGGTCACTAGTCACAAGGGGTGTTGTTCGTAAAGTGGTAATGCACGTATCTCTCGCCAATTCTATCCTGGGTTCGAGTCTGTTACCCAGTGAAACCCTACCAAACATCACAGGTTACCCCCGGGTACTGCGGTTTCCTCTTGTACTAACGCTTGACAATTAATTTCATAACAAAAAACAAAGAACAGAACAACTTCCAGAAGGGTTTAGTAAGCCGATAAGTGGTGAAATGATGAATTAATCAAAACTTAATTAAAATTAAAGGGCAGTGCGCCCTGGGTGCTAGACAACCCTCTCAGCGCAACTGTACTGGGAGTAGCGCGTCACTCCTGTCTGTCATCAGTCAGTCGCTCATCCCGCTAGTAACGATCCTAGTTTTTGAAAGGTTACCATAGAGAGGAAAGATACGATGTGTGTTATACCTGTGATGCTGTGCTTGTTAGTTCTCAAGTTTGATTAGCGAAGAGCAACCAAAACGTCTATGGTCAGCGAAACGGAAGCTCGGATGATTTTTAGAAACGAGTTGAACAAAGTTGCCTATGATTTCCAAGCAAATTTGAGGGATAAAATCACGAGCCTTGAAATGGATATGTCCTCAAAGTTTGTAGAATTTATGTCAGAGATCACCGAGTCCCAAGATACTGCATCAGAGTCACTGAGGAGGGAGTTGTCGGAGAAAGTGGCCGATATGTTAGAGAAGCTGAATAAGGTTGTGACTTATTCAACGCTTAAGATTCAAGACCTCGGCGACCAGTTGAGTAAAGTGTTAACGTCATTGGGGACTTGGACGGAAGACCTAGACTCAGCTGTAATATTCAGTCATGACGAATACCTGAAAGCCACGCTGTACAACTCGGAGTTTGCCGACAGCGACAGAAGCAGGCGTCACACCTTGGATTGGATGCCAAGGATCCCCACATGACTATGCTGAGACCATCTCCAACTCAGACCCACTGGTAGTCCCGCTTGTCCAAGAAGTTGGTCTTGATGCTTTCTTGGACTACATTAATGTTGAGAGTGGTCACGTGCGAGATGACAGCACCCCGTTTGTACTTCGGCAATACGCCTGTGTGTGGGACACCCAAACGACTCTACCCACGTCTCACCATACCACTAAGGATGTGACAAAAATTCCCATGGACTGCCTCGACCTATTAACTGATGGTCACACTCAGGACGGTGTATATAAAATCTACCCAGCAGGTAAAGTTTTACACCATGTTGTGGGACACGATTAGGTGTTTGATTAGGTGATACCAGTTTTACGGCTGGAAATTAAGTTTAGGTGTTATAGCGCAACTATATTGATGAACTTTAGATATATTAAGAAAGTAAAAGATTACTCATATATATATATATATATATATATATATATATATATATATATATATATATATATATATATATATATATATATATATATATATATATATATATATATACACGAGGGGAAACAACAGAGCACCTTAGCTTTCGTCTTTATTCACATTAGCTTCAAGACATCTTCAGTTGCCTCTGAAGATGTCTTAATAAAGACGAAAGCTAAGGTGCCCGTTGTTTCCCTTTTCTCGTGTGATTTTATCAAGATATATCTTATCCACATTTTCATTGTGATCTACATGAAATATATATATATATATATATATATATATATATATATATATATATATATATATATATATATATATATATATATATATATATATATATATATGCAAGTAAATGTAGGTGTGATAATCAGAAAGGAACACGAGTTTCATGTTGTAATTATTATTCAGGGTGAGTACAGACTGAGTCTGTACTCACCCCTGAAGATGTGAATTACACGAAAGCACTTGGGAACTTCGTGTTTTCTTTCCTTAGGTAAAACATATATATATATATATATATATATATATATATATATATATATATATATATATATATATATATATATATATATATACTATTTAAAAATAAATTAATATAAATTCCTTTGCAGTTTTCAGTATTGACAAAGAGTATGTAAATTTTTTCCTATGCGTGAAATAGTAAGACGTGAACTGATTCACCCAATGACTGATTTACGGCGAATGGATATTTTAAGAAGCATTTAAGATGTATGCACGGTACAAGTGTTGGTAAGCAGATCATATTACACTAAGGACACTTCAAGAGTGAACAAAGAAAACTCAAATGGATCTCCGTCACAGGATCAATACTCAGAAGTGTGTGTAAAAGCATACAACTATTATGAAGTTATCAATAAGTTGGCAGGGGTAAATATTAGAAGTGTGTAAAACTCTGAGAATGGAGGTAATTCGGACTCACACTGTGGCTGGTTGGTCACGATGATACAGTACGCAAGGCAGATAACAGTGTTCTCGTGTCTCCAGGTAGAAAGAGTACTAAGTTTTATGATCCAGAAAGTGATATACTAGTATAGTTTCCCTCAACAGGTGTAGGCGTGGAGGTGTGGTGTGAGCAGAGCAGTGCGGGCGGTGGTTGGACGGTGGTGGGTGGGCGGCGGGTGGCCCACCAAGTCAACTTCACCCGACCCGCCTTTCACTACACCCGCGGTTTCGGCGACCCTGCCGCTAACCACTGGATTGGTAAGCCAGAATTATGCAAGAGTAATCCAAAGTGGAAGTGTTAATACGGATACAGTAAGGTTTAGGTCACTAATTTGAGACACATTAACCATAAAACCTGAATGAGAAAAATCATTTAAACTTTTAACAGAAAAAAGTTTAATTATTTCGAGATGTATTACAATACCTGAGTTGAAAGAGGTATACAGGTAACTTTTGCATGGTTTCATACATGTTCTCAGACTTACATATTTTTTAGCATACGAAATTTATATGAACAGTACTGTATAATAAACTGACTACCTGCCTTCCCTGACGGCAGGGGTGGAGGTGATGCACGCCCTCACCCGTCACGCCCCCAACACACTTCGGGTTCATTTGGTCGATCACTTACAGCAATCCGCTAACGCCACCTACAGCAATTTCAGGTACCGTAACCCTTCCGAGTGGCATGCACAACAGCTGGTGTGGTAAGTAAGTGTTCACCACCACGCTATTTCACACCTCTTGAGCTCCTCCTCTGGCATTTTTTTTTTTTTTGCAAGTAAGGAGTAAAACAATAAATTAAGTGAAATATTGGTTCATTTAAGTCACTAATTTGTCCATCATTGTGTTAGTTCTGGCTATACATATAGGGGTGAGAAATAATGGTAGTAATCTTAATGGGCAAAACAGGGAGCAAGAAGGCCAAGTGAAGGCAGAGAATGGGGTGGATCGAGAGAAATTCATGTCTGGGAGGATTGGTAAGCATTACATCAAAGGGGCAGGTTAGTGTACAATCACAGCCTGAGGTAAGCTGTCGTAGAGTGAATGAAGAAGATGCAGTGTTGAGATTTCTTCAACGAAGCCTTAAAACAGTTCCACATTCAAGAAAACTTATCCACAACTTCAACACCACAAATAAAAGAAAATTTGAAACGCCTAACAGACCAAACCAAACCAAACTACCCCCCAGGGTTAGGTTGACTAATCTTCAAGTGAAATAAGCTATATTGTCTAATATTTAGGTAATCCAATATAACTCGTGAACAAGTGAGAACTATTTTATTATTCCCTCACACACACACACACACACGAACATAAGAATGGAGGAAACTTCAGCAGGCCTATAAGCCCATACTGGGCAGTCCCATTTACACCCAACCCCTATCGCTCATATATCCGCCCAACCTATATTTGAAGCTATCCACCGTATTCGAGTTAATGATGATGTTTGGTAACTTGTTCCACTCATTCACTACTCTATTTCCAAACCAGTGTTTACCTATTTAACGCCTAAATCTAAATTTGTCTAATTTAAAATCATTGTTACGAGTTCGCTCCTGGTTGGATAGTTTGAGTACCTTTGTAATGTCACCTTTGTTTAGTCCTGACTTCCATTTATACACCTCGGTCAGATTGCCCTTCACTCCACGTCTCTGGAGGAAGTGCAAAATTATGCTTTAACCTGCGTAATCCAAGTGAGGTCTTGTAACTAACACACACACACAATGTATATGAAGGATGGTTGATGGTTGAGAGGAGTACCGTTTACCCTGGTGGGGAGGGGGGTGGTGGAGGAAGGTCAGCTAGATATCAACTTCCTGTGCCTCCCACCAACACTCCCACGTCCTGAATCAACTCTAAGAATATAATGAATTTCACAACAATATTGCATGTGTGTGTGTGTGTGTGTGTGTGTGTGTGTGTGCAATCCAGTGAATGTAATGAAAAAAGTTAATTATGCAAAAAACTGAATGCTTTTAGGTGGGTTAATGCAAGTGAGGTATTTTATAGTTTATGATGACATTCTATGAAAACTTTGTGTGTGTGTGGAGGGGGGGGGGCGGCTGAGCTGCTTCAACAGTGCAATTGTAATCGTTACTGCGATTGTGTTCGTAAGACTTGCACTCTGGTCAGCCAGCATACTATCGTGGACAAAAGTTCGCTTCCTGTAGTGAAACTGAGACACGGGAATGAGTCTCAGAACTGACTTACCCTGATTGTTATCTGGTGCTGGTGTGCGCGGGTCGATACTGCTTCAGTTTGGGAAGGAGCGAACTTTTGTCCACGATAATACAGTACAGTCAACGTACTACAAGGGAGCTCTGGGGTAAAATACATGTCAGTCAGAAATTGAGTCAACATTTCAATCTCCCTGAACCATGGTAGACTACTGAATATGTTTTGGGTGTCTCACTTGTAAGACAAACACAGAAACAAACCTAATAACTACTACACCTGCAGCGTTGGGGGACCAGAGGACCAGTACCGGCTTCAGGTAGAGGGTTACGACCCCTCCAGCACAGCCGGAGACGCCCTCACTCCACACTCCGGGGCGCCATTCTCCTCGCCCTTGCATCTCTCAGGTAAGCCAAGTCCTCTATGAAGTAGACTGATCTTACCTTCACAGATAACCCGTTTACTCTAGTCGAAGGAATTATTATCAGTAAACACTTTAACTAGCCTTATTTTACATCGGATCACGTGAAGATTACACACCCCAATTTATTTTACCTGATTAAACACTTAATACTGTACTCCCTTGGGGATTTAAGTTAAGTTAGGTTAGGTTAGACTGGGATACCTAATCATCTAGCGAAATAAGCTGGAGTGTGTAATCTTTACATCCACTGTAACTATCTAAGCTTATTCATCACGATTATGCACACAAGCTTTTATGTATGACCAGATTTAGTATATTTCAGGCCTTGCTAATAACTTTGTTGTGTTGATGGCTCAGGGTCGATGCCCCAGCGGATGTGATGGTTACTTTCTTTCTTTGCTTCAGGAAACAATTGTAGCAACGAGCTAGGTGTGGGCTGGTGGTTCATGGACGCCCCGGACTGCTACTTGGCTCTTCCCACGGGTCACTACCACACTCCCGGCCACTACCAGGGCACAGGGGTGTGGAGTGGCGACCCTGGCGTGGTGCTGGGTACTCCCTCCACACGTTCCTCCTCATGACCCGCCGTCATACTGTCTGATGACCCCTGACTTCTGTGTGATAACCTTATGACCTTTAAACCCATGTAATGACCTTATAACACATCTGATGACCTTATGATCTTTAAACCCATACAATGACCTTATGACCCATGTGGCGACCTTATAACCCATGTGTTGACCTTATGACCCATGTGATGATCTTTTCACCGGTTTGATGACCTTATAACCCATGTGTTGATCTTTTCATCGGTTTGATGTAATGTGATGGCCTATAACTTCATATGAAAACCTTTTGACCTCATGTAATGACCCAATAACACCGTGTGGTGACGAAGGCAAGCATTAACTCTGCATGCTTCCCTGGTGGGCGCTGTAAACGTTTTTGCGCTTCACCCTGCACAGGATGTAAAGAGGTCCCCAATAAAACTAGCTTCCTTGAGGGGTAAATCTGAAACCGTGTGATAACCTCAGGCCCCGTATGATGACTTAATGTAAGCACATCACACGTCGCTTGAGACTACGTATTAGTACATCACACCATCAAAGATTCTCACGGGGTAATCAGGAATGCAAACAAGATCCACATATCCTGAGCACTGGCAGGATATTTCCACATTCATATCCTGACAACGGATTTCCACCCTGACACATGGCACGTGGGATTCACCAAAAAATTAAGAGGAATTACAAGCTTCTGTTTATTATAATGTATAATCTGAATACAGTATAGCTTTCCACTCTGTGTCATTTTCCGCCTCTTATCGGTCTCCTTTCTGCCAGATTCTGAGAAAAGATTTTTGGGTGTGTTTCTGGACAGTCTGTGTGTGTTCGTCAAGCTGCTTCGCCGATTCAAAGCCGTTCTAAAACCCTTGTATGAAGCACAACACCCTGATTTAAGGCTCCACAACACCCTGGCCTTAGGCTCTACAACACCCTTCTCTGGGCTCTACAACATCCTGGCCTTAGGCTCTACAACACCCTTCTCTGGGCTCTACAACATCCTGGCCTTAGGCTCTACAACACCCTGGCCTTAGGCTCTACAACACCCTTCTCTGGGCTCCACAACACCCTGGCCTTAGATTGTACAACACCCTGGTCTTGGGCTCCACAACACCCTGGCCTTAGACTCTACAACACCCTGGCCTTAGGCTCTAAAACACCCTGGCCTGAGGCTCTACAACACCCCTGCTCTGGGCTCTACAATACCCTGCTCTGGGCTCTACAACACCCTGCTCTGGGCTCTACAACACCCTGCTCTGGGCTCTACAACACCCTGCTCTGGGCTCTACAATACCCTGCTCTGGGCTCTACAACACCCTGGCCTGAGGCTCTACAACACCCTTCTCTGGGCTCTACAACACCCTGCTCTGGGCTCTACAACACCCTGGCCTGAGGCTCTAGAACACCCTTCTCTGGGCTCCACATCACCCTGATCTATACACGTTATTGTAAGGGTTTTAAAGATGAAATAATATACTTGTTTGTATAGAAATTTACTAAGGATAAAAATATATATTTATTTATATACAGGTATAAAGAAAATGTATATTTTCTTAAACATATAATGTAGTAAACAAAAACAAAACAACACACACAAAATATATATATATATATATATATATATATATATATATATATATATATATATATATATATATATATATATATATAATACACATTCAGAAGTAATATCTCCATTGGCCAGAATCCCTCAAACCCGGAACTCTCCATTAGCCATAATTTAAATTTTCTCGGAAAATCGTTCCCAAAGCTGGAATTTTCCGGAAAATTACGGCTTTGGGAATGCTTTCCGAGGGGTACATTTTCCGGAAAATTCAGGGAAAATTTTTCTCATACCCATAAAATTCCGGGGATGGGGGATTTTTTTTCCGGGTTTGAGAGAGTTGTCTCGTTACCCGGAAATCTCTTACTCCTGTAAGTGCTCGGCACCAACTGTTCTGGCTAACGGGGATATCACATACAGAAATCACATGTACACATCAATTACATGAATACATATGCTATATCGATATTTGCATGATAATCTGAAATATAATTTCATATTGTATAAAGATGAATTTAAAAAAACCACTAAAGTTTCTGAACAGTGGAACACTGGGTCTAGCGTGTCATGCAACACACCCCTTTCATGACATTGGCGAGATGGCATGCAAAGGTCAAGGGCAAAATAAAATACATCATTCACATCTACTGTATTCCTGTTCGCTGTATGCATGACCTGTGATGAGAGTCCATCAGTTATTGTTGCTCATCTTTCATCACATAAGTGTGGCGGATGCAGACAAAAATATGGATGAGTAAAGCAGACACAAAATCTCTCAGGACATAACAAGGGTAATCAAGAACTGTGCTATTGCTGCGAGAGTGAAGAAAACATACATGACCAAGGGATAGAGCAGCCCTTGCCATCAGAAGGTCACAGTGTGAGGGAATAATTCTCTCGATGGGTTTAAATGAGTGAATCATGAAAGGCATTTTTAGGATTGATTAATGCAGCTAAGATGTAGATCACAGTGATGTTGATGATGATGGGAAGAACTAGCAATACAGTATTCCACACTACAGAGGAGCCGGGTCCTGGGCCTGAACCATGACCAACTGACACTGATAATTATGCCTGTATCACACACACCAACTACGGTCTACGAGAGGCAGATCAACTGAGGTTCCTCTTAGTTTTGATATAAACAGAGCCTCATCCTCCCAGATTTGCCGTTCGGTGATTTTGGTAGATTACAGGGAGTTTTATACTCCGAAATTTTTTTCAAGATAATAGAATATGTTAACTTTGTCACAGTCATGATCATTATACAACAGTAACAGGATCATGGAATAAACATATTTCAGTCCTTAAAATTATAAAATGTCCTGTTTACAATGGAATAACCCATAAAAGGCAATGCTTATCGCTTACCACTAAGCTATGGTACTATAAATGATGACAGTAGTTAATGACACACCTGAGGAGAGACGGACTTATCACAGGTGTAGGTGTTGACCCCTGAGTGTTAGAGAACTAAGGTCACCTACAACAAAAGGCAGAAGAAATCTGAGCTTGCTGCCCCTTTGATAGGTTCAAAACCTATAATTAGTAACGTAAACATGTCTTCAGTGAAACACCTCAGTTATTTATTAAAAAAAGATGAACAGTGCTAGAGCGAGCAAAATGTTTTTTAATCCACACGAATCTAATGAATGTTATTACCAAATTCAGTGAATGTGATAAAAATTCATAGTGAACATCAAAGCTAATAAGTATAACGAAACAAAGTTTATTAGAGAAAGAGACAAAGTTCCTTATGAACTATAGGAGCAACGTAATGATGGTATGATTCACTGTCTCATATGTTTCAATTTGGTGTTTCACTATACTATACAGTATAAGAACTTATAGAATACTGATGCCCCTTTCAAAATCACAATTAGAGTCTTTATCGTTCACTCTGAAGCTTTGCTGCCACACACACACACACACACACACTCACTAAAGTGACGAGTTATCGAGCGAACCCAAACATAGGGGAACTACAGTATGTCCCGTACCGTAGGAGGAAGAACCCTCATTACAATGCTCAGACACTGGTTCTTATGAGACACTTCCCGGCAGGGAGGAGCACTCCACACATACTGCTTGTGGGTATCACGGGTACAAGGCTACACTCTAGCCTACGCTAATACTTTGGTCCAAATCACACTGTAAATAAATACAAAACTATCTCACGTAATAAGTGTCTGTACAGTATATTTGATCTAGCAACGTTTAATATAGTTTAATATCAACCATACACTAATGCAGTTTTTGACAAACTTGCGTCCACCCAATTAGTGTTAATCAGGTACTGGATGACACCACGGCACAGGGTAAGGATCAGTTTGTCAGTATTACTCTTGCATGGGATTGACTTTACTACCCAGTTCCCCCGTTACACATTTTTGGGACGTCACTAAGGCCTAACTTGCACATGCTTGGGGTGTCTTCAGCCCGGAGCTGACAAACACTTTGCTTTTGTTCTTCGACATGATTCGTAAATGCGTTAAGTTTGTCCGCTGGTAATTGGTCGAGGTCACCGTTGGGTGTGTTGTCTGAAGTGGGCGACTTGGTTTGTCTGTGGGTGCACATGGCGGGGATATCACACTGACACATACTGGGGGTGTCAGTAGCCCGTAGTTGGTAGATGTCAGGTTTGAAATTATTAGAGGATAAATTGTCCTCCGAGATGACGGAGATGACAGGGTTGTCAATGCCCTCTTGAGTGCTCCTGGAGTCAAGACTGTCCTCCAGAATCTCCAGCACTGGTGATTCTCCTGTATCAACAAACATATTAAAGTCACAACCAGAAACATTTCCTTTTTGTCAGTTATACTGTATATATCTTACCATCACAAATTACATGATATTCACTTAAAATTACAGGTTTTTCAATACAATTACTTGCTTAAATTACAGACACTAACAAGGTTCTGTATTTCTTTTGGTGGAAGAGGAGTTTCATATTCTATTGCTAACTATTGTATTTAAGTACTATGGTGCATCGATTAACTTTATCAGAATATATATATGAATAATTACTTCCCTCCAACAGAGTAGCAATAATTATAATCTTTTAGGTACAGGACATCCATAATGTCTGTCTACCCTAGTATAGTTCCTCATACAAGTTCCTGTGTGATAACGTTTGTGCATAAAGGTGTAAAACTTTATCATTAAGTATTATTTATATTTATTTTAATTTGATCCGCTTCGCCACAGATCGGCTCGTTAGCCGCTTGGGCGGTCGGTCACGTCTCTGTTATGCACTGTTGGTAAGTACTGGGCATGCACTGGCTCCTGAATGTATCTGAGCCTGCTCCAGTGTTGTCAAGTCTGGTCTTGAAAGAGCTCTCATTCGGTGCATTCACAACACTCTCTGGAAGAGTATTCAATGAGTTTACAATTTCCACCCCAAAAAATTTGCACTCACATTTTTCTGGGTGACTTCTTCAACCATGATCTGTGACCTCTAGTGGTGCGAGCATCTGCCAGCTCCAGGTATGGACTCTCGACTGAGTAGTGTCCTCTGAGATGTTTGTAAACTTCAATTATGTCACCCCTTCCCTGCCTATAGTTTTAGCTAGGCAGTTGCAGGCATTCTAAACCCTCTGGTTAACTGAGGTGCCATAGCGTCTGCAGGCACCAGTCGCCAAACGGGGTGACAGTACAGTACTTCAATTGGGAAGCACCTCACTCTCGAAGACCATTCTTTAAGTTGAATTATGATTCCACCCTTGATCAGAAATTGACGGGGAGGAAGAAGTAACACACACTGGATCATGAAGAGGGATACTGATAGACCCTTTGAGAACTTTCCGGCCACGACTTCATACAGTTATAATAGAAGTGGACAGTTGGCGTTTATCCTTCGAGGAATGTACAGTATTGTACAAGGTGACCAGGGGGAGTGAATAGTCCATTACAGAAGCTGCTGGTTGACTTTTGGCATACGTTTGTCCATCTTACTTTACAGTAAGATACAATTTCCCATCAAATTTCCGAATTTTAACAAGAATGTTTAAGACCTCCTGCACTCACCTCAAAGCTAAGTGAATTAAATCCTTAAGGAGTCGGGAGGAAGGGGAGGGGAGGGGAGGTGGCATAAGTCACCCAACAAATTATGCACAAGAAATCAGGACACTGGGTTTTCCTCGAAGCTGAATTTAAACAAATCGTTGAAAAAGAAAGCATCCAACATAACAGTTATTTTGTAATCAGTTAAATGTTGAAAACATAACTTACCTGAAAAAACCGAACACGACAAAATAAGAAAGAACTTACCTCTCCTCTGTCCGACTTTGGTTTTCAGGAGAGTGACGATGACCAGGATGCCCAGCGAGCAGGCGGAGCCACAGGCGAAGGTGATGACACTCCGGTAGTAGTCTTGTCTGGAGGAAGAGCGCCAGGTTACACGTTACTCACACACTTTTCCTTATTTCATACCAAAGTTTATTTATTTTTTATAACGATGCATTACTGTTGCTTGTAATTACAGGTATTTCAGAGGAAATTCGCAAAAAATACACATTCCGTCCACTACATACTGTAATATAAAAGCAGACATCCTCTAAAATGGAAATCATTGAATAAAAAAAAAATACATTAAATGGATAAATGAACATATTCAAAAGGAAAAATTACACCGTAGTCTGCAACCCGATAGTCAACAACCAACCATGTGTTCGTACCGTGTTACAACGATACATCTCTAAGTTTACATGGCTTTACTTCTGCCCCCCATCTGATATTAAGTGAGATCTCGTCAAAATATCGGCAATGGTCTGTTTTTTTTACACCTTTTATCAAACTTATCCGTGTAAAGAAGTGCTTAACAAAATACAGTAATATCAGCAATATAAACCAAGATTTTTGTCGTGTTATTACTGCATGGCATCATGAAAATTGTGACCAAGTCCCAGGTTGCTGATCTGACTTTCTGCCTCATTTACACGCAATTGCAGGATCTCGATTGTTTCCTTGACAACAAAACATGCATAAATCATTTCTCACTCTTGATATTTTTTCATTTTGTATTTCTTTTTGGTTCTTTATTATTATTACAGTATAAATATTATTATTTTATTATATTATAATTATTATTATTATCATCAGTTATTATTATTATTGTTATTATTATTTTATTTTAACTTTTATTTCTTATTATAAATTATATTTACTTTGAACTAATTATGATTATAATTTTATTATTATTACATTTTCGCCCCCAGGCCCCGTTGTGGGTCAGTGACCAGTGCCCGGGTGGGCTAATCCCCATAAAAAAGACAATATATGATGCTTCCAATATCTTCCCAGGTGGCGGTGCTTCCCTGTTTGACAGCTGGGAACTACCTACCTACTATAAGTGTTTACGTTTAACTCCGAAAAAATATATATATCGAGTGGTCGGGATTATATTTTTGCACTTTTACCTGCTTAACGTCAGATACCGTTTTAATATTCAACTAGAATAATAAGTTTATCTGATTACAATTAAGTAAAAGTTTCCACATTATGAAAATTGTGAAACAAAACAAGCCAACATGATTTTTACAGGTCAAAAATTTTTTAGTTATTTTTTTATAATCAATGAAGCCTGGAATTTTTACATCCTGTGAGTAAAATGAAGCAACCCAACATGGCTGAAGTTAAGCAAGTCTTCACGTGAATGGTTGGTAACATCGATAAATTATTTAGACCTTGGGTAACAGATGAGCCAACACAACTCATCTGTCGAACACTGCGTATGGCTGCAAGTGTAAGTGTGTGTGTGTGTGTGTGTCGGCCTCTTAACGCATTTACCCATAAACTCCCAGATCTTTCTCTTCACTTTTATCATTCTGTACATTTTTATCCCTCTCTTTCTCTCCCGGGTATTCTTCCCTCCATTTCCCCTACCCAGAGAACAACGCCATCATCCTCCTCCTCCAAAACAAAACCATCAGGCAGGTCTGCCAGTTGAATACTCACTCGCCAGTGTCTGAGTTCTGGATGACCATGATGATGATGCCGTTGGAGAACTTGTCCACAAGACTCATGAAGCCGTACACAAAGGCGCCACCCTCCACGTTATCTCCGATGAGGTCAGCAGTGATGGACAGCGAGGTGATGAGCAGGGTGGAGCCGCCAATCCCCAGCAGCGCGGCCACCAGGAAGATCCCCCACTGGCTGTAGTAGTTTCCCTCACCTAACCACACCCACAGGCAGCCAGCAATGCCCACACAGCACCCAAGCACAAACGTTGCCTGGAGAGACACCAATTTGTCAGGTTAATCATATGAAATGTTTATGATTTAGTTTGTTTACTGGTGTGCTGTAGTGTGTGTGTGTGTGTGTGTGAGGTGAGAGCACATGACGTAAGACTTAGAAATAACAAACAAAATCAAACAGGGAAAAATCACCCCCCCCTCCAAAAAAAAATCTTTATATATATATATATATATATATATATATATATATATATATATATATATATATATATATATATATATATATATATATATATATATATATATATATATATATATATATATATATATATATTATAATAAACAAATATTTTTATATAATTTTTTCATGTTTCTTCCATTCATCACGCCTCTTCACCACTCGCACCTTAAATAAGCCACGTCGACCCTCACACCGAATACTGCCCCCATCCTTCAGGCCCCACCATCTACTGTATAACATTTATAAAGGAAGCCACACAGAAATCGCTTGGGCTTTTTTGTTCGGCTACATATTATTTCTACCAAGACACTTCATCCAAAACCACACACAAACTTCAGTGTTTTCTTAGCCGTTGGCCACCTTTACCCAGATTCGTTTTACTGGTTGGTTTTCTTGGCTGTACTCACGAGTTTCCAAAGCTGTTAAATGTTTAATATCAATTCATTCATGTGGTTGGATTTAGCGAGACAAAATTACAAAATATAACATGACACCATTTTTCCTCTTACGTATATTATAGAATTTATAGTCTACATTTAATTAACGTTTATTACAACATCAATTACTTAATGTTATCTTTTTAAGAGTGATTTACTGCAGAGGGGAGATGGTGAGCTATATGGAGTCGAACAGGTGAGGTGGGCAGTCAGGGAGTCCAGCACCAAAGCCAACAGCGTGCGTGGCGTGCCAGGCTCCCCTCCAGGAAGGGGAGTGCTGATCTGTAGGGGTGGTAAGTACCCCACACCCTCTTCTGAGAACTATCACCTCCTCCTGCCCACGCCGCGCCTGGCTGGCCCCTCTATTTCCAGTTTCCGTCTCCACCTCCTCCGCCGACTCAGTCCCTCGGAGTTCCTGCACCCGAGCTCCTCAGTGTTTACACAACATTCATACTTCCCAAGCTCACCTATGCCTCCCCCACCTAGTCTTCCTCCCTAAATGCCACACAACGTAAACACCTAGAAAAAGTGCAAAAGAGGGCATGCAAGATTATTCTCTCCCCATCCTACTCCACATATCAAGAAGCGCTCAACACACTGACCCTTTCGACTCTCACTGACCATCACCACGACCTCATCTGTAAATTTGGTAAGAAGCTTCTACACATCCTCGACACCGGTTCCTACTACCACCTGAGATCCCAAGCCCGAGAATTGCTGTTCGACACCACAACCGCATCAAGCCCATACGTGCATGAACTGATCGCTATAAGAACAGCCCAGTCCCAACCATTGTAAAAATTATCAATAACTTGTAATAACCAGTGTATTCACTCCCAGTAAATACTACTTCTTGCACTGTCACTATGTTGAAATGAACTGTAGTTTGAGCTTTTCCCCATCTAGTTATTATATATCTTATTTGTATCACTTATGTTACTTGTATATTATTTATAATTCGAAACCCATTCCCCAAATATGTAACTGTATATTTTCAGCCTTCTGGCTGCCAAGTTCTTTCAATAAACCGTTAATTATTATTATTATTATTACACAGTCAACATCAACAACAACCAAGGCACCTCACCTTCCTTCCTATCTTCTTGTTGATCTCCTTCATGATGAGAGATCCTACGAAGCCAGCGAGATACATAGCAAAAGGCACCGTTGCCACGTAACTCTCAGTCAGGCTAAGTGTTTCTTGCACATACAGGGGGATGTACACCTGTAAGGAGAAGGTAAGTTAGAGGCAAGTCGTCATACCACAAGGTGAGCTCAACCTGTGAAAAGTTCCGCACTGTACATGTCACTGTACTAAATACTTGAAGCAGGTTAACAATTGAAATTGTACTTAACGTGGAATGAATATCCAAGGTTTCATCTTTAGGGAAGGATTAACGTAGTGGAGTACTCGTCTTACCTGGTACAAGTTGACGTAAAGGCGAGTGGCCATGTAGAGGACCGCGATCTGGTAGAAAGAAATCTCCTTGAACCAGTCAACCTTCCTCATCTTCTTGGTCCTCTGGGGTCGCTTCTCCTCGATGTCAATCATGTCCTGCTTCTTGCGGGATATGTAGATGGGTTCTTGCACACCAGTGTGGAAGATAAAGGAGAAAACAGCACCCACCCCGCAGCAGATAAGGGCGATGTTCTGCGTCAGGAGAAACTTGTTAAAAAGTGTAATCTTACCCGACTCAAGCGTGCTAAAGGGAGGGAGGGAGATCACTCCACCCGTCTGCTCAGCTCACACTTAGTACCCTGATCCTCATTTGTTCCCTCTCTCTCTCTCACCATCTAATTTTCTTGCAGTCACGTTTACACTAACATTATCTCGTTCTGCCGTTATTATCTCTTGCTGTTTCTCACTAGTTTCTATATCGAGTGTGTAAGAACATAAAGTAGACAAACAAAATGAACTTGGGTTCTTCACACACAAAAAAACAAAAACAGGAGAGGATATGAATATGTCCTTACTCTGAACTTTGCGTCGTCCTCAGGGCCGATATTGTTCTGCTCGCTAGCAGGGACAGACTGGGTGGTGGTGGTGGTGGAGTCATCATTGTCGTCCGAGTCACCGCTGATGTTAAGGACGACGAAGGTGATTGCGAACACGCTCAAGTTGGCCAGCACGGTGAAGGCATATCTGAAGGAAAGGGAACCAACCAACCATGTTCACACACCTGTTGGTAACGCAAACTATCATGATAATATATTGATGTTTATGTTTGCAGAGTCAAGAGGCCAATGATTCCCTCGTTATGTGCCTCTGCTGTATCTCCCCCAAAAGTGTCTCAACGGTAAATCACAAAGATATATAGAGTAAATAAACTTCTTTTCTGTCATGCAAGATTATCTGTGAGTCTATTAAAGTCACTTGCTATCATTCTATTCTGGAGTCTCAACGATGCTTGTCCAGGATGTCTTTTGGTGGGACCCTCTCCCCGTGCGTGCTGAGAGGCATGACCCACCTGATAGAGTTAAGCTCGGTGCGCTGGTGTTTTTTGGAGGTCAGGTCGGGGATGAGTGCCAGGTGAGAGATCTGTACACACGCCCACCCAAACTGGAAGAGGCAGACGAAGACGCAGTAGTAGGCGAACTGAGCCCAGTCATTAGCACCCTCACACCCCAAGCAGCTGTTGTATATGAAGGGGAAGCTGATGAACACCAACACTGTACCTGCGGGGAGACGGGAAGATCAGTCCGTAGCAATGAGAAAAGTTTGTGGTTGCTTAAGATAAACAGCCTAAAGGGAAAGGGACAGAGGAAATCTTAATCTTTCCAAAAAAAAAAGTAAAAAATGGCAGAACAAGATACGACTGTACGCGTATGTCAGCGTTCTCGTCACCAGGAAAAGTGCTGTACGCTCACTGGGTTTAGAGGCGGGTGTTGTTGTGAGGCACCACAGAGGAGCCGACAATATGAAAAACGCCGTCAACCTTGGAAGGCTCTCAAACACGGTTTTTTATTCATAACTCTCTTGTCCTGGCCAATGAGGCATGTAAGAAAGAAAATGTTGACAGTGACCTTGGTCTGTCCAATGCTGTAATTAAAAACATTCAAGTCAGAATCATGAACTCTGATCTACAAGAAGTGAGAAATGCAGAGAGACCTGACAGTTGTAGCATTAGTAAATATGACAAATTTTGTAACAAGAGGTACCGGTATGGCCAGCATAAGGACAGAACCAGACAAAGTGATGTAGTCGTGGCCAGAATTAGGCTAGGATACAGACACATCTGGCAAGTTAGTAACGCTGTACCCATACCGGAACACTCAGCAAGTAAACTTTGTGATAAACCTTTAAAGCATACACTTGAACACTATATTATTGAATGTGACACTGTCAAAGACTTCAGGCCACCTGACTTATTGTATCTTGAACTATGTAATTACTTCATTGAATCAGGTGTGCTTGAGGACATTCTTGCTGATTATCCCAAATTTGCTAGCCCACACTGATTAGTCTTCAATTAGAATATGACTCCAATGTATGTGATCCACTGACCTATATATGCTGCTGGTGAATGTGATGTATTTCCTTCTTTGTGTACGAACCTCTGTCCTGCGTGGCAGTGAACAGTGACATTACCCACATGAATCTGACCTATATATAGTGTCAATGAATATGATGCATTCTTTGTGTACGAACCTCTGTCCTGTATGGCAGTGAAAAGTGACATTACCCACATGAATCTGACCGACGTATATGTATGTATGTATGTGTGTGTGTGTGTATATATATATGTGCATGTGCATGTATATGTGTATGTATATATGTATATGTATGTATATGTGTGTGTGTTTACATATATGTATATGTACTGTCAATGAATATGATGCATCTCTTTGTGTACGAACCTCTGTCCTGCATGGCAGTGAACAGTGACATTACCCATATGAATCTGACCTCTATACATTTATAGTTGTTAATGAATATGATGTATTTCTTTGTGTATGAACCTCTGTCCTGCGTGGCAGTGAAAAGTGATACCACCCTCAGTGTCAAGACCTGACTGAATTACTCAGAATAGGCAAACTGTACTACAAGCTCTGCCAATAAATTTGTTAAACTAAAAATTCACTAAAACCCACTTTAGCAACGGACATTGTTTGTAAATAGTTAACATCAATGCTTCCATGGCCACATGTATGAGCCATTGGTCAAGGACGTGACGGGAGGGAAGCGCAAGACAAAGGTTTGGGGTGGAAAGGATGGGCTCTAAATTTTCCTCCTCGTGCGCAAAATAAGCGGTTCCGGTATACCGTCGTTCTCCCTTACCAAGGTCGGTGACAGTGGGGAGTCTCCTGGGATGATGCACACACCCACCTTTAGAGGGGGAGGGGGTGCTTACTCCTCTGATGCACTGTACATTCTACGAGTTGCATGCCGTACTTATGAAGGAAGAATGTATATTTACGTACTCTTAGGATGAGGGAGAAGAAGGAGAAGAAATGTAATGTTGAAGGTATAAGGGGAGAGTGACGGGTGTGACAGCAGACTCAGACAGCCTTAATAATACCCATAATGAGTGACGTCATAACACTTCTGCTCAGGCCTTGCCAGAACCTATATACAGTATAACTCACAATACACGTGAGTGAACATTTTTTGGCAGCAGAACAAATTACTAGCTATTTCATTTTGTCGAATTCTAAATACTTTCATCTTACTAAATCTCTATCAAAACACCTGTACTGTAAATGCTGGTATTGCGCTGTTCAGTGTTTTACTGCTGTTTTTGGCCACAGCATTACAGTATATATCATATAAAACTCATAAATGATAAGTGCGGCTCTGTGAACGTGGGCAGCTTTCTGTTGTTAATTCGATATAAAAATAAACCAGAGTTCTCTGTTGTGGTTCAGCTTAGAAGATAAATCGTGACTTATTTTTAAAGAAAAAAAATATTGTGTAAGACTTTGACGATTCAAATGATGAGGTAAACACCAGTGTGGAATCATTATCTCCGCGACTATAAACCACACGTGAGCAGTAAGTCTTACTCCCCACAGGATGCTTTAGGTGCTAACTTGAGGGAAAAAAGTAAGAGTTTATAGTAAATTATTTGTTTCTTTACCTCCCCTACTGCAGACTCTACAGCTGTTGCTCGTATTGTTCAGTAAAGTCTAGAGCGAGTCCACTGTGAATCATATCCCTCGTTCACCAACACCAAAATGTCACACCATGCAGAGACATGTTCACCTGCCACCTGTTGTTTACCTCATTAGGTTTATCTATTAACACTCAGGTGAACTACACGGGATATACTGTGGCAGAGTTGTGTTATTAAGCTTAGTTCAGTCTGAGGAACATGTAATCTAATCAGTGTTAAAGACGAGTAGATTAACCTAAGATTAACGTGACTGCGACGGCGTAACCTTCCTGACTTTGGTGTTCGTTTCTGTGGACCTGGAAGTGGGGTTAGCCGGAGCCAGCAGTGTTTTAAGCATAATGATAATGCAAATATGCAACACAGATCAGGGACAATGGCAGGAAATATAGACACAGGGTTTACATACAGGTGGTGGCACTGACGAACACGTGAAACGGTGTACTCTGTGCCTCTCCCACTGTTACCAACTTATATTTGTTACACTCGAGATGTGTACAATAGTCAGTCATTACACAAAAAGTCAAGCAGTACAAAAAGCGAAGAGAAATGAATCAGTTGGAAGAGGTTAGTGAGGGACATGGTAAGGCGGAACTAAGTAAGGATGAAGCGCTAGCTGGTAGTGGTCCTTGAGTAGCTGGGGAGGAGGAGCGAGAGTGGTCATGAACCTAAGCAAGGTGACGACCATCTGACCCACACACCAGCCACGCTCCCTATTTGTCCTCGCTCTCCCTCCTCTTCCCCCACAACACAGCCACATGGCACCGTCAAAACGTTCCCACACAATTAGGTAAAGACTCGCGCTTTAGACTCACCATTTAACCACATTCATCCCTCGCATATGTCACACTGAAAGCCGTAACTTAATCGCCAGCAAGCACTCGGGTCCCACCTAAAGCGTTCTTCAGCAGAGTTACCACCCCAAAACTTCATTATATAATAAGACTCAGTATATTATAGGAAGGAAATAAGATAAGTGGAGATCTCACGCCCCTTAACTTCAAGTGGAAGTTTAAACCAGCTGTGTTCCTTCCATCCCCCGAACCTGTAGACTAAAATCCCCCATCAGCTGCTCATTACCAGGTAACAGGTTCCGACAGCCAAACTCTTCTCATCTGGATCTTTTACTTTTTACCCAACTGGAACTTTTCCCCGAAGGTTGTGGTCTTGACCTCCCTATTTCTCTACACTCACTTATACCTCTACACCGCCTCACTGTCACTTTCTATTTCAACACTTCTCGGTAGCCGCCACACACACACGGGAAAACTCTGGTAGTTTTATAAATGCTAAGAAGACGACTTAAGTGATGCATATTCTTTTCTTTAAACGTCTAATCTTTTTCTTTTTATGTCCAGTCCGGATGTTATAATAAAGAAAACTTCAAATGTATTTTCGGTTCACCTGAAGATTGGTCCCTCTTAGCTGATTTTCGCTTAAGATTAACCACCCTAACACTAACCTAACCTGACCCAACCCCAAGAGGTAGCGTTCAGGGTGGTTAATCTTGAGGTGAAATCAGCTAGGGGAGAAAGGGGTGGGCAGTCTTCAGGTGATCCGTGTTTACTGATCTGGCGAGGTGAGTTCCAATCTTCCTTCCCCAGTATTTGTTTGAAGTCATTAACCTAACCACTCGACCCTCCCTCCTTGCTCGTGTCACCGGTACAGTACTGTCAACCCTCCACACATCTAACATATTCATCGTATTTCCTTGTTTTCATTGAATTTCTTGTTATTTATAATTCACAGTCTATAGGGCACTGAAATACAAAGCCTTTGCTCTGGTCTTAGTTTAAACCCGTCACTGTTTTCCACTGCTGTCATACATCTCTCGTATGGCTTTCATAAGCGATAACATTATTTTCACGGCACTATACGAGTACACACCTGCGTATTCACACATCTCCCTAATATGCACCTGTTATCTCGTGACAGTTTCAAATATCCTTGCCATTTCGATAACAAAATCTAATTTTTCTCGCGTTTTACCAACGTTCGTGCAAGTTGCATAGTATGCATGATAGTACAAACTTAGCCCACTTACCCAACAAATGCCACACTTTCCGACGTCCATATCTCGCGCACATTGGAAACTTGTTTTCTTTGTCAGAGAAGATGCCAACGATGGGCGTGCTCAAGCCGTCGGCAATCTGGCCCACCAGGAGTACCAGTCCAGCCATGGTGGGGTTAAACAGCAGTACCTACAGTACACACCAGAGAGAATTAACTACTGTCCTCACCTCTCACCTAACCTATGTATACACAAATATTGTTCACTTGATCTTCCTTGTTAAGACACGTCACTTACCTTCTCGTAGAAGATGAGGAGGTAGGTGAACCACATAGAGGCGCACAAGTCGTTGAAGACGTGACCAACTCCATAACAAAGTTTAGTCGTCCAAGGGAGGGATTTCTTTTCCATGGTGATTGGTGTGTGACCCTCCGGGTGGCCTGGCGGTGAACGAGTGAGAACACTGGCAGGGCTGCTGGTGTAGGTGTTGGCACAAGCGAGAAGGTGACTGGTGCTAGAAGTACAAGGTGTTGTTCTGGGCAACAGTGACTCGTGAATGGTCGCCAACTTTGGTTATATACCAAACAGTAGTGATCCACCCCACAAAAAGATCGACACAGCGGCTGTCTGTATGAGGAGTGAAGACGGCTACCAGCACACAGAACGGAGCGGATAGGTATGAATCCCAGAGGAGTGTGTGAAAGACTCGGTGAGGAAGACGCAGCAGCGACCTAGGAAGAGACGTCCAGCTGGTCCCAGGGTTCACACGACTGCCGCGCTCTGCAAGGATACGAGCGTTATATCCCAGATAACACACACACCAATTACCAGACTGGCGATACGACTTATTGTTTACCAGTTTAACACCACTGACCGCTGGCTCTTACCGGCAACTATTTCTTAATGACATGTAGGTGATGTAAGAGGGGGGGGTAAAGAAGAGGAGGACAGGCGGTGAAGGAGAGGGGAGGACAGGGAGGTAAAGAGGAGAGGTGAACGAGGGACAGAGGAAGGTGAGGGAGGGGAGTGCCTTGAAGGGAGAACAGGAGTGAAGACAGGAAGGAGAGGAGGGGAGTGCTCCTGAGGAGGAGGAGAAGGAGGACAGGGGGAAGGAGAGGAGGACAGAGAGTGAAGAGGAGGGGATGCTCTTGAAGGTAGAGGAGGACAGGGAGTGAAGGAGAGGAGGACAGGGAGTGAGAGGACAGGGAGGGAAGAAGAGGAGGATAGGGGAAGGAGAGGGAGGGACAGGGAGAAGGGAGAGAGGGAGGAGATAGGGAGGAAGGGAGAGAAGGACAGGAGGAGGACAGGAGGGGAGGATAGGAGGAGCAGGGAGGAAGGTGGAGGAGGACATGGGGAGTAAGGAGGAGGACAGGGAGGAAGGAGAGGAGGAGAGGGAGGAGAGGGAGAGGAGGACAGGGAGTAAGAGGGACAGGGAGTAAGAGGGAGGAGGAAGGGGAGAAGGGAGAGACAGGGGAGCAAGAGGAGGAGGATGGGGAGCAAGGAGAGGAGGATAGGGAGAAAGGGAGAGGAGGACAGGGAGGGAGGAAAGGGAGGAGGAGGGAGGGAGGAAGGGAGGAGGGAGGGCGAGGTGGAGGACAGGGAGAAAGAGGAGGACAGGGAGAAAGAGGGAGGAGGAGGGGAAGGAGAGGAGACAGAGGATTGAGGAGGAAGGAGAGGAGGAGGAGTGAAGGAGGAGGACAGGGAGTAAGGGGGTGAAGGAGAGGAGGACAGGGAGGAAGGAGAGGAGGACAGGGAGTAAGGGGAGGAGGGACAGGGTGAAGGAGAGGAGGACAGGAGGAGTGAAGGAGGGAGGATAGGGAGCAGGGAGAAGAAGGACAGGAGGAAGGAGAGGAGGACAGGGGAGAAGGAGGAGGACAGGGGCAAGGAGAGACAGGAGCAAGGAGAGAGGAGGGAGGGGGAGGAGGAGGGAGGGGGAGTGAAGGAAGGAGTGAGGACAGGGGTGAAGGGGAGAGGAGGAGCAAGGAGGGGTGAAGGAGGGAGTGAAGGGAGAGAGGACAGGGAGGAGCAGAGCAAGGGAGAGGAGGGCAGGGGGAAGGGAGGAGGAGGACAGGGAGCAAGGAGAGGAGGAGGAGCAAGGAGAGGAGGACAGAGTGTAAGGGAGGAGGAAGGAGGAGGACAGGGAGGAAGGAGAGGAGGACAGAGTAAGGAGAGGAGGAAGGGAGGAGGACAGGAGGAGTGAAGGGAGAAGATAGGGAGGAAGGAGAGGAGGACAGGAAGGAGAGCAGGGAGGAAGGAGAGGAGGATAGGAGGAAGGAGGAGGAGAAGGACAGGGGTGAAGAGACAGGAGGAAGGAGAGGAGGACAGGGAGGAAGGAGAGGAGGACAGGGGAGTGAGAAGAGAAGGATAGGAGGAAGGAGAAGATAGGAGGGAGGGAGAGGAGGGGGTGAAGGGGAGGAGGACAGGGAGGGAAGGGGAGAGGAGGGACAGGAGGAAGGAGAGGGGAGGACAGGGAGTGAAGGGAGAGACAGGGAGGAAGGAGAGGAGGACAGGGGGAAGGAGAGGAGGACAGGGAGTGAAGGAGGAGGCAGAGTGATGGGAGGAGGAGAGGAGGAGAGGAGGGATAGGAGGAAGGGGAGAGGAGGAGAGGAGGAAGGGAGAGGAGGAGAGGAGGACAGGGAGGAGGGAGAGAGAGGACAGGACAGAGAAGGAGAGGAGGAGAGGGGGAGGATGGGGAAGGAGAGGAGGAAGGAGAGGAGGGAGGGTGACAGGAGAGGAGGACAGGGAGAGGGAGGGAGGGGTAGGACAGAGAGTAAAGGGGAGAGGACAGGGAGGAGGGGCAGGGGAGAGGAGGACAGGGGTGAAGGAGAGGGAGGACAGGGAGGAAGGAGAGGAGGACAGGGAGGACAAGGAAGAGAGAGGACAGGGGAGAGAAGTGAAGTGAAGAGAGAGGACAGGGAGGAGGGAGCAGGGAGGGAGGAGAGGAGGACAGGAGAGGAGAGGAGGACAGAGAGCAGAAGGAGGAGGAGGAGGACAGGGGAAGGGAGGGCAGGGAGGCAAGGAGGAGGAGACAGATGGAAGGAGAGAGGAGGACAGAGGAAAGAGAGGTGGGACAGGGAGGAAAGAGAGAGGAGGGACAGGAGGCAGGGGAGTGAAGGAGAGGAGGGACAGGGAGCAAGGAGAGGGCAGGGAGTAAGGAGAGACAGGGAGTAAGGAGGAGGACAGGGGAGGAAAGAGAGGGAGGAGCAGGGAGGAAAAGAGAGAGGACAGGGGGACAGGGGAGAGGAGGGAGTAAGGAGAGGAGGGACAGGGAGGGGAGAGGATAGGGAGAGGACAGGGAGGAAGGAGAGGACAGGAGTGGGAGATGAGGACAGGGAGTGAAGGAGAGGATAGGAGTGAAGGAGAGGAGGACAGGGGTGAAGGAGAGGAGGACAGGAGAAGGAGGAGGACAGGAGTGAAGGAGACAGAGGAGCAGGAGAGGAGAGGACAGGAGGAAGGAGAGGAGTGAGTGGAGGAAGGAGAAGAGGACAGGAGGAAGGAGAGGAGGACAGGAAGTGAAGGTGAGGGGAGGATATATATATATATATATATATATATATATATATATATATATATATATATATATATATATATATATATATATATATATATATATATATATATATATATATATATATATATGCTGATAATGCAGTGAAATGTACTTAGTTCCCAGCAAGCTTGTGTAATTACATGTTTTTCAGGGTGGCGTTATGACTAGTCTGTATTCCCTGAAGATGTGAATTACACGAAAGCGTCAGAAACTTCTGTGTTTCTTCTTTTCTTGTGGTTATAACATATACTAGATCACGCGCACCTACAGTGATTTACGGCATATATATATATATATATTTTGATGAAATCACATGAAGGAAAACAACGAAGCATTTTAGCTGTCTTTTATTCAAGATATCTTTAGTTGCTCTCTGAAGATGTCTTGAATAAAGACGAAACAAGGTGCCCGTTGTTCTCTTCCCGTGATTCTATATATATATATATATATATATATATATATATATATATATATATATATATATATATATATATATATATATATATATATATATTCCGAAGCCAAGCCAGCTTAAGCCATCATGAATCACCGACTGAGAACACACCTAGAACTTGAAGGGAAATACAATCCCAGGCAGCAAGGATTTAGAAAACATAGAGGAACCCATATAGCCATAGTCCTAATTTACGACAACATAGCAAACGCAATACACAATAGAGATCTATGCAACGTAGTATTAAGGGACGTAGCAAAAGCATTCAACAAGGTCTGGCACTTGGGGCTCAAATACTAAGTAACCAACAAGTCTCCAACAACTTCACTTCTTTTCTTTGTAACTTCCTTGATAACAGAGAGGCAAAAATCATCATTGGTAACCACGTAGGTCCAAGCACCAAGTTATTGAGCGGAGTACCGCAGGGAAGTAACCTCTCGCCAATACTACCCACGGAGAATACATAGCCTATGGCCTATGCCAATAACGTCACCCAAATCATCCGACATCCAGGCAAGGCCAAACAGATGATGGCACGAAAAACAGCTCACGCCATCGAGCAAATAAACAATTATAAAAAGAAGTAGAAAATTCAAACCAATACGCAGAAACTAAAGATCATTCACATTGCCAAAAGAAACCTAGCACCAATCACAGTCAACAACGAACCTATACAATACTCCAACGAAGGCGAAATACTGGGACTCACAATAACAAGAACAGGTATAGCAAAACACATAACACAACGCAACTCACAAAACTATGAAGATTCAGCAAAATGGACACCAACATTTAACTACACCACCTATTCAAAGCACTTGTCTGCCCCCGCCTGGAGTACCCACCAATATCACTCGGCACGATCAGCAGAACCAGTTAACTTAAACTTCAATCAGTACAAAGCAAAGCTATCCGTAGAGCATCAAAGCAACTCCACCCCCCATACACCACCAACATACAAGAATTTCACGAACTATACAATATCGAACCACTGAACACAGTACAGTACATACAGCCAAGCTCAGAGAGTTTGGAGCAAACTTGATGAGTTGGAGGACCCAATATTCTCCCAGTTAAAAGAAGAAGAAACCACAAGAACACCCAGCTGGTGGCCCAAGAGCCTCCATGCTAACATAGAAGAACAAGACCCACTTTACATATAGATGTGAACAAATAACACCACCATTTAACAAACGTAAATTAAAAATTAACACCCATTACACTAATGAATGTCTAGTTGGCCCCCCCCCCCTGAGCGAGCGGGCACGTGCTGTGTATGGCCACCACCCCCAACCAATCACATCGACTCAGCTAGGTGGACAGCCCACCTGCTATCACTACCTACTACTGTACTCTCCGTTTCTGTTTTTTTTTTCTCTCACTCCTCTCCTCTCTCATGACAACGTCATTCGCCACTTTACTTCATTATCATCATGTGTGTTGTGTCGTACTGGGGTACACCTCCCTAGGGCAGTCTTTATCTATACAGTAGTGTGTGTGTGTGTGTGTGTGTGTCTCAACAGGGATTTATTGTGATATGAAGACAATTTCTACACATTTATTTTTCTTGTAAATTCAAATCAGTGTACATACAAGAGCCAGTTTTGCCATACATCATCTAACATCCATTAATTTGTACACACACACACACACACACACCATTAGTCATTATTTATAAGTTGAGTCCTTCGATAAAACAATAAAAAAATTCGGCTTAAAACCAACAGTGAAGCCTGGCACTGAATCCGTATCCGGTTCTCACGGGGTCAGGACACT